TATTTAAATGCTATTTAATGTGTAAAGTACAGCATGCAGGCTGCAATATATTTATTTAGATGAATATTTAGGGTTTTTTGTGATGAAATTGTATTAAAATAAAATTTTAAAAGGCTAAATATAATACAATTTGGTTAATTTCACACAGAAAATGACATTTAAATATTTTGTAAAAGAATGAAGCATATTTTTTTAGAATTGTTAAAACTTTTCATACAAATAATTTAAAGTATTTAGTTAGACATTTTTGGATTATATTCAGTGAACAGCGGTGAAATTGAAAAAATAAATTGGAAAATCTAGGTTAAAACAGACAAGTTATTAAAACAGCTGAATTGAAGACATTTTTCACTTGGCTAGAATTTACAGTTTAATTAATATTTAGGAAGGTGATTGCAAGTTTTAGTTCCAACACGCAGAAGTGAAAACACGCTTAATTTAATTTACTGTAAGTTAAAGTTTAATTTGCAATACCCTCTCAGTTCCCCACAATCCCTGGTTTAGCATTAGATTTATGTGTGTGGGATGAAAGTAATATTTTAATTTTATGGCATATACCTGTGTTTTGTATCCACTTGTAAAAACCATGTAATTCTGGTAGGTAGATAGGTATCTTTTTCTCATTTGATACAATATTACCAGAATCCTAATCAGTTTGCCTTCATTTCTCAGTTGGTGAACAGGTTAGGATCAGCGCGCAGTGGGGCTGAGTTGAATTTACAGACAGCGGCAATGTTAGCACAAGAGAGGAGAGGAGACCAGATTGTTACTATTGAAGGTAAGGAAACTATGAACTGCTACCACTGATTTCTAATCGTCGTAGATTATATTTCCCATGATGCTCAACAAACTAGGCATTATGGGAAATTCTGCAGTAAATGTGCACAAACATCTGCAGTGGCAATGTACACGCAAAGGCTTTTACTGTCATATGGAATCCCCATTCAAATCAGAATGCTTTGACAAAACTGAGCAAGCTTTGTATTAATGGTGAATGGGTATGTTTCTCTAACACGTGATGTTTGTGCTTAGACATGGGTGATGCGATGCCTCCTCCATATACAATGGATATAAGCATAAATATATACAGTCTAAATATATTCTTGACACAAAAGGTTAGTGGGGCCTTAACATCAGAAATAATGGCCTGTATGGTGATTTATTTCGCTGTATCTTTAACATAAGGCAAGGCCAGAACTTGCTGGGTTTAGGGTGAAAGGATATTCATAGAGTTCTTTAAAAATACCTTTTAAATAAAAATAATGTAGGTTGAGGGGGAGGGGTGGGGGGGGGACTCCCTGGATGTCCGTTGTCCTCTGTTTGTTACCATTCCCATAATCCACTGCTGGAGGATTATGTAAATGTATTTAATTCATGACTCTGTATTAAATATAAATGTAAAATTCCATTAAATATTTTAATTCAATACAAAATTTTAATATTTTTCACAATATAATATTATAGACTGAGGCCTATGTGTCTTTAGCCCAAATGTAGCAACATCTCTTTTGAATTCACCATAATTCACAGCTGAATGGTGTCAAGCCAGGGAAATTTATACCGCATCGCATTTAGGATTTTAATTCTGTTCTGCTAGGATTCTGTATTCTGGTTATTAACGTGATCCACACATACCACATTCAGCATTCTCTGATGCATTATTTGTTATATTTGAATGCAAATTTGGCAAATATAAATATTCTATTAGATGTGCTAAATAATTGTCTTATTAATATCATTGAGTTAAAAACTCCATATCATGTTCAGCCATTTTGGAGAACATCTATTTTTATGAGTTTTCAATTTAATAATGTTTACTCTTTTGCATTACCAATGTTTTAATATTTGATATTAATTTGATTGAGCCACCCATTTTTTTAGGCCACCACTTTGATTAGATAACCGCTTGCAGGATTCAGATTTTATCTCATTGGAGCTGAATTGGGAAACCCCTTAAATACTGTTTCATTACTGATCCTTAAACATTTAACATGTTTTATTCCTAATTAATATTGTAGCTAATGTAGGTCGGCATTTCAGGAAATTGAAACATATTATGACAATGAAGAAGTTTTGCAGAGATTACATTTTTGGGTCAAAACAGTAAATTTAATAGCATTGATTTTATAACATTATGTTGGGTTCTAGGAGAAATGTATCAAAATGTCACATTCTGAAAAGTGGTGTAAAGATGCAAGAGAGTCGTACTGATCAATGGAATGTTTCTATGGTGATTTTCCAATATTTATCACTTTGCACTATTTTTTAGAAAACAACACTTTGATAAATATTCCCCTTTGTATCAATAATACGTATTGCAGAGGCTTACAGTGTGAGATTAATTTTGTGGTTTTAAGAGTGTCATGGCCATAGAGCCCACTGACATATCAGCAACCATTTCTCATGTCAGATATTCAGTAAATGATGATTATGATCTGGACCATTCAGGGTTTGAAATTAATCTGGGACAAAGGAACACAAACACAGAAATTGAATTGGGTATCTCAAAAATACATGGTTATCACTTTTTCCAGATGGTAAATAAGGGGAAGTTTAGTTTTCACTAAGTTGTTGAGTGGGCTAATGTCCCTGACATTACTAGTTCTAATCTAAAATACCTAGAGCTGGCAAAAAAGCAAACTTGGTAGCTAGTCATAGAGACTAGAAACGATGGGCCAGAGTAAAAAGAAAACTGAAAGACACTGGACGTTCACTGCCACAAAGCAGTTTAATGATGAACAGCTTAAAAAAGTTCAAAAATAATATCTAAAAACTTCGGAATGTCTGAACACATGGCTGCATTTTAAGTTGTGCAGTTTAACAACGCACATGACTTCTTCCCATTTTTGGCTTGAGTCGAATTTTTTTTTCCTATAAAAAAGTCGTAAGGAACTCAGAATATCTGCAATTTGCCATTTGTCTGCTTAATCATTGGAAATGTGTACTCTCAAACTACAAGTTGCTATAGCAAAGATAACTACAGATTGGATGAGTGTGAAGACGTCCATTGCTTCACATGGAGCACACCTTATATTGACTCAGAAGCATGTCCCTATAGTCTCTACACAGTGTTTCCACATCTCAAAAAACTTCAGTACCAAAATATTTATAAATACCACGATAGTTCAATATTCTGGAATGATGGTGAGATTCATAATATTCTCGATAGTCATCCACAACATGGCGAAAATGTATAATTGGCCCAAAGAAGACTTTCCGTGAAGATTCCGTCACTTCTTCTTAATAACCTGTTACAGCTCTAGATTACCATGTGGACAGTAACCATCATCGGAGTTTAGTTATCATATATAATCCCAATAACAATCTGTAATAACATGGTTGCATTTTTTTTGGCAGTCCATAGCTCGCCCATTGCATTCTGGGTAAATAATAAAGCTTACTACGTGCTACGAAGCTTGGCCATTTGTTTTTGTGCCTGTTCTGTGTGTCTAAGTGAATGGGGTTTTTGCTAAATTACATACATTAGACAGTAGCAAAAAGCATGTGAACATATGGTTCTGATGTATGCTGCAGCATTTTGGCTCGACTTTGATTTCTTGCCCGGCAAAGTATTCAACGGATTGGTTTATGCTTCAATAAAGGAACCCATATTCCAACCCATGTCCAAGTGGCATTCTCTGACTTTCAAAAGGTAAATCTATAAAGAAAAATTATATTTAAAAAGAAAAAGACCTGCATAAAATACAGTATGGGATCTGAAATATAATTTGGAACATTTTCCTATATTTCAGATAATTATAAGTTGAGAGAAAATATACTGAAGGGATGGGAAACCCTCCCCTGTACTCACTGTTAAAAATTACTTTTAAACAACAAATAATCAGAGATAATCAGCGCATGTTAAATTAATTCAAAAGGGAGTTAACAAAACACTCAACACACAAACACAAGAACACACAAAACAATGAAAATTGTGATAGGCGGTAAAAATAAATAAATAAATATAAGTACCTTACATAATAAAGGTACGTGTGGGGACTGCTGTAAACATATACAATTATCATTTAAGAGAAAAAAAACTATACAGATATATAGTGATGTCCTGAACGGTTCGCGAACGGTTCGCCACGAACGGTTCGCCACTGACTTATCATTCCAGCCAATCAGCAGCAGACATCCCTCCTAGACCCTCCCACAGGAGGGGGAAGGGTCTGGGAGGGAGGGTCTGCTGCTGATTGGCTGGAATGACGAGTCCGTGGCGAACCGTTTGGCGAACCGTTCGTGGCGAACCGTTCGGGGCATCACTACAGATATAGAAATAAACAGACAGAGGGTCAAACAGATAGACAGTTGGATAGATAGAAAGACAGACAGGTGGAGAGATAGACAGACAGAGACAGGTGGATTGATAGAGAGACAGACAGATTGATAGACAGTCAGATCGAAACAGGTGGATAGAAAGACAGCTAGACAGACAGACAGGTGGATAGATAGACAGACAGAGACCGGTGGATTGGTAGACAGAAAGACAGGTGGAGAGATCGACAGGCAGGTGGATGGATGGATAGGTAGACAGACATTTGAGAAAGATATAGGTAGACTATATGTTATATTCATATGAACTGCCAGATAGTGACACTTTAAAAATAATCCCTCAAACAATTAAAATTGATTTCATAATGTGAAATTGCTTGTGAGTACAGATTATTCATTGCATTAAATAGGTCAAATATAATGTATTCAATTAACAGGTTGCGTATAATTACTTACTGTAGATGTAATGTCTTGTCAATAATGCAAAATTGAAAGAAAGAGAAAATAAGAATAGCACAATGTGATTTTTTTTGTGTGCTCTGTTCTGGAAGTACATCCAGACATTTCTATTACAATGCTCACATTATTTCATACAATCGCTTAACATTGTTAAATTGGATAAAAATGGATCACTGCATATTGCAATTAGTGATGTCCTGAACGGTTCGCCGAACGGTTCCCTGCGAATGGTTCGCCACGGACTCATCATTGAGTAAACTTTGACCCTGTACCTCACAGTCAGCAGACAGACCCTCCCTCCCAGACCCTCCCACCTCCTGGACAGCATCTATTTTGAACCTGCATTCTTAGTGAGCTGTCCAGGAGATGGGAGGGTCTGGGAGGGAGGGTCTGCTGCTGATTGGCTGGAATGTGTCTGCTGACTGTGAGGTACAGGGTCAAAGTTTACTCAATGATGAGTCCGCGACGAACCGTTTGCGGCAAACCGTTTGTGGCGAACCGTTCGCGAGCCGTTCGGGACATCACTAATTGCAATAGTTCTCTTATTGTGGCATCTAAGTTATCTCATTCTCGGATCCTCTGCTAGAAGACTGGGACTTCCTTATTTTTGATCTTATGGTCACTGCTGCTGTCTTCTGTTCCTTGTCTATTACCACGATTTCTGGTTGGTTGGCCAGTACTTGCTTGATCATCTAAAACTAGAAGTCCCATTGCATTTTAGCCCTGTCACTCTCAATCATCCTTTTTTGCACCTCCTATCAGGACGTAGGCATGTCCAGTCCATATTCTGCATAGATGTTTCACTACACAATCCAAGCAACTTGGTTGTGCCTCTCAGTGCATGCTGTCCCTGCTATCATCTTGTGGTCGGCTGTCATGTACCGGGTTGTTTTGGAGAACTCTTTGCACAGTCTGAAACTTGGGTCTTGTCTGGTGTGGTAGACCCCTATTTATTTTGATCTGGTACATGATCCTGTGCTGCTAGGATTAGTGCCTCAGTGCTGTCTTTCAGTTCTGCATTATCCAACCACTGGTTGGATTTTGTAATGTGAGCCACATTTGTCTCTTAATGGTACATCCCATGGAGAGGTTTGTCTTACCATGGAACCTCCAGCTTATCTGCATCCTCTATCTGTTGTTGTCTCAGGCATTCCCTTAGCAGTTCATCTTTAAGAACCATCTTCGTGATGTACTTGTGGATTGTTTGTGTTTCATTCAGGACTTTGACCTGGAAAATCAAAAGGCACTAATTTCCTTCCAGCTAGTGTGCAGATTCCAGATGCTGGATTCTGTGTGGAATCCTAAATTCATCCTGAGTAGTTTACCGGTTTTGCTATCCATGGCGTCCAGCTCTAATCTTGGCCAGATTATTATCCCAGTTGGGAACCTAATGATTGACATAGAATATGTGTCAGTGACATGTATCTTGTGCTTGCCATTGAGCTGTGACTTCAGGACCTGTTATACTCTCTGGAGGTACGTTGATGTTGCTGTCCTCATTGTCTCTTCCTCATTGTTGCCATGTGTTTGTGGTATCCCCAGATACATGTAGGTGTTCTCTACATCTCCTTTTTGGTCTTCTAGCACTTCAGCTCCTTAGTCCTGATCATCTTCCCTCTTTTTGCTATCATCTGCCCACACTTATATAATTTGAATGACATTCCAATGTCTTCGCTAGTTAGGTGAATCAGTGAGTCGATGCCTCGCTCCCTCTTGGCATATAGCTTTATGTGGCCCATGGCTAATGTTAGCTGCACTCTGTATCTAATCTTCATGATATTCTAGCTGAGTATGCTTGGACCTATGTAGAGCATCATCAGGTTTAGTGCATTACCTTGATATTTGCCACATTGGATGTTCACTTGTGTAAATGTCCTGGGATTGGTTTCTAGTGTTTTTCTCCACTTGCTCATCTAGTTCTTGATGAAAGCTGATAGTGTCTTGTTGACCTTTTATAGAGTCAAACATCCTAGTATCAATGTGTGTGGCATTTTGTCACAGACTTTCTTGTAATCACTCAAGGTTGTGCACAAGTAGGGTTGTCTGGTCTTAGAATCCCATTGACTGCTCGGTCTATCAGCAGCTGGTGATTTGATCCTCTGGTGTTCTTTCCAATCTCCTTTTTAGTACTGCTCTTGTACTGATTCATATGCACATCAGTCTTAGAGATTATGAATGATGTCTGACAGGACATAGATAGATGGACAGACAGACAGAATCTGGAGATAGCTTTCCGTTCAGCTGTTTTAGTCTGCTGTTTAGTGACTAGACCCCATATACTTGGCCCTAATGAACAGAAATTTTTGCTTAATTTACAAAATTAGGTAATTGAAGCCTATTAAGGCAGCCAGCAATGATAATTTAATTATGTGTTTACAATGTGAAAAGGTTATGACTTTTTTTCATAATTCCATTAGCACAACATGAGTTAATGTTTTTAAAAATAAATTATGATTTTAAATTATTAATGAGCATTCTCGGTTAAATAATGTAGCACTCCTTCTGTTACGTAACTAAGCTGGACATTAATTGTTTGAGTGCTCAAAAACACAGCTTTGCTAACACAAATTTATAGTGTATCTTGGCTACTTACAAAATTCCTATTGCTATTTATTTATTTTGTTAAAAAAAAAGAAGCTAGAATGTAACCCAGCTTGTTTGATTTATTTTGCTACATTGATTATGTCTATCATCTTGTCTAGAGTCTTTGTTTTATTTTGACTTCAATAAGTCTACATTTACCCAGATTTGGTTTTCTGGTTTTTATTATTATTTATTTACTTATTGCAATACTTAAAGGATATTGCAAGACTGATATCACAACACGGCACATTGATTCATGAAGAGTCAACACATCTCAAGGGAGCATTGAAAGCTACTTGACTTTCTCTGGCAAAGCCGGCGTCTGCTCCCTTAAGGAACAGTCTTGGCAATATGAGATCAGATGAGACCTTTTGCTCTTCCTAAAATCAGTTGAGTTACAGAGTGACCCTTCAGGTGGTATTTCAGGTGCATTTCTGCCCTCTTACTATGTAAACATCATAGAAGCTATCCTTCCTACAGCCTGCCTACCTTTAATCAAACCACTGTAAACATTACAGTAACAATGTGTTAACCATAACAAAGTTCTGGCTTTGTTGTCATCAAACTATCATAATTTCTTGTTCTATCTCATTTCATTTTAATAATTTTGTTTTGTGTGCTAATCAGATGTATTTTAACTACCAGTACATTATATACAATACAATGGTAGCACCAACATCTGACGTCTGTTTTTCTTGGTGCATTGAAATAACAGATCGGAAGAAGAAACAAAAATGATAACGTTATTGGATAATATAGGAAGGATAACCAGTGGGATGATATAGGAAGGATAACGACATGGGTTAATATAAGAAGGATAACGACGTGGGATAATATAAGAAGGATAACGACGTGGGATAATATAAGAAGGATAACCAGTGGGATGATATAGGAAGGATAAAGACATGGGATAATATAAGGAGGATAACGACGTGGGATAATATAAGAAGGATAACGACATGGGATGATATAAGAAGGATAACGATGTGGGATAATATGGGAAGGATAACGACATGGAATAATATAAGAAAGATAACGACGTGGGATAATATAAGAAGGATAACGACGTGGCATAATATAGGAAAGATAATGACATGGAATAATATAGTAAGGATAATGGCATTGGATAATATAAGAAGGATAACGACGTGGGATAATATAATGGCATTGGATAATATAAGAAGGATAACGACGTGGGATAATATAGGAAGGATAACGACATGGGATAATATAAGAAGGATAACGACGTGGGATAATATAGGAAGAATAAAGCCATGGAATTATATAAGAAGGATAACGACGTGGGATAATATAAGAAGGATAAAGACGTGGGATAGTATAGGAAGGATAACGACGTGCGATAATATAAGTAGGATAACGACGTGGGATAATATAAGAAGGATAATGACGTGGGATAATATAGGAAGGATAACGACATGGGATAATGTAAGAAGGATAACAACGTGGGATAATATAAGAAGGATAACGACGTGGGATAATATAGGAAGGATAAGGACATGGAATAATATAAGAAGGATAACGATGTGGGATAATATAGGAAGGATAACGATGTGGGATAATATAAGTAGCATAACGACATGGGATAATATAAGAAGGATAACAACGTGGGATAATATAGGAAGGATAACGGCATGGGATAATATAGTAAGGATAATGGCATTGGATAATATAAGAAGGATAACGATGTGGGATAATATAAGAAGGATAACGACGTGGGATAATATAGGAAGGATAACGACATGGAATAATATAGTAAGGATAATGGCATTGGATAATATAAGAAGGATAACGACGTGGGATAATATAGTAATGATAATGGCATTGGATAATATAAGAAGGATAACGACGTGGGATAATATAGGAAGGATAACGACATGGGATAATATAAGAAGGATAACGACGTGGGATAATTAAGAAGGATAAAGACGTGGGATAATATAGGAAGGATAACGACATGTGATAATATAAGTAGGATAACGACGTGGGATAATATAAGAAGGATAATGACGTGGGATAATATAGGAAGGATAACAACATGGGATAATATAAGAAGGATAACAACGTGGGATAATATAAGAATGATAACGATGTGGGATAATATAGGAAGGATAACGATGTGGGATAATATAGGAAGGATAAGGACATGGAATAATATAAGAAGGATAATGATGTGGGATAATATAGGAAGGATAACGATGTGGGATAATATAAGTAGGATAACAACATGGGATAATATAAGAAGGATAACAACGTGGGATAATATAGGAAGGATAACGGCATGGGATAATATAGTAAGGATAATGGAATTGGATAATATAAGAAGGATAACGACGTGGGATAATATAGGAAGGATAAGTATTATAAGTTGGGTAATAATGTGATATAATGCAAGAAGGATAATGACTAAGGATAATATAAGTAGTATAAAAATGTATGATAATAGAAGGAGAACTGTCATGTAAGATAATGTAAGAAGGATAATAAGTAAGGTAATGTACAAGTATAATGACATTGAATAATATAAGAAGGATAACAATGTGGGGGTAATATCAGAAAGGTAACAAAGTGGCCTAAGATAAGCATTACAGCGTGCGATAGTAGGAAAAAATATAATGATGTGATTAATATCATGTGATTAATAAACAAAGGTCAATTGGATAAGTTAAAAAGGATAATTACATGTGATGGAACTAATGACAGATGCCCAGATTGGTCGTTGGATTCAGTGGCCCTGGATGAAATGAAGAGAGGCAATACATGTTATGAGAAGGATCCCAACTTGAGTCATTATGCCTATTTTAATGCCTAT